ACGACGTTCTGAAAACGCTGCCCGCACTTATAAACTGCCCCAAACGGACCCTTATTAAAAAAAAATCTTGAATTTTAACACATGCATTTATGCTATGTATAAAGCTCGTATAAAGGCCAACAATAGATGGCATTTTTGTGTGGTTCAATATAAGATGATTTATTTTGGTCGATGTGGCTTGTTCGACTATTAATTTATTAGTGCAGCCATGTTTGACAAAAGTGTTCCTTGGGCATTTTGTTTGGTCTGGTAAATAATTCTTTTGGTTAACCAAGTCACAGCTAGGAGGCTTTCCAAGAAAGATAAAGATTAAGGTGCGTTTGTGACAGCTTGTGCGTTTCAAGATAAATTGCTTATCCTGAAACGCGGCTCGCGGGCGGGCCGCTGGATTCGACCTGCGGCCTGCGTTTAGTGTAAAAACCCAAACGAGGTTTCAGATAAACTGACGAAACGTGCGAACCAAACAGTACGACGGTGTTTTGAAAACGCTGCCCGCACTTATAAGTTGCCCTAAACGGGCCCTAAGGTTACTTATCTACCTTTTTTTTTTTTGCAACAATTTTAAAATTTTCAATTTTTATTGATTTCAGAGGAGCTACTTGAGTTATGATCGTGTTTTTTGTGTAAATTTTGTTTTTACAAATTTTTGTTCATATTATATTTGATTTGCTCTTTTTTCCTACCTAAATTGCAAATATTAAATTTAATTATCTGCTATTTTCTTACCTTCCATCATTTCATACTCAAAGCATGTAGCTATTATTTACTATTTCATTTTCAATATTTACACTTTCTTGTCCTAATCATTTAAAGCTATGATTTCTTTAGTTTTTGACTCATAAAAGAGTTTATGATTACAATATAGCTTAATTTATGTCAATTTTTTTTAAAGGTGCACCTGGGGTTTTTAATTAAAAAGATCAAAAACACATTTTTATATATTTTGTAGTAGGGGAGTGAGTGAGCCATGTAGACTTGTGAGCCGGGTCAAACTTTAGTAGCTAAGTAGCTCGTCAGCTGGGCTCGATGAGCTAATAAACCAAGCACAAGCTAGACCCAACTGAATCATTAGCTTGTAAGCTAGTCCTTTTAAGGAATAATTAATAAAAAAATACTTAAAATATATTAAAATTTAAAAATTGTATTTAAATTATTAAATAAATTTTTAAAGTTGATATTGTACAATTTCTATTAAGTTATTTCTTACTTATTATCTTCTAAATGCTGATTTTATTTGTCTTTTCATTATAATAATAACTTGAATTATAATTCTTGTCTCTATTTCATACTAAACAAGCCTGCATGTGAGCCGGCTCAAACTCGTAGAGTTAAGCTTGAACTCAAGCCCATACTCGAATAATTAATCAAACTCAAGCTCAACCTAAGGGTGGTTCAAGCTTGACTCAACTGGTTAATCCGTAGGATCTAGTCGCCTCTTGGTGGATGACTCGAGTTGGCCTAGTTGGCCACTAAGCCATATGGTAATAATAGTTCAAATTCTTCAATGCTAGAGAAATAGCAAAATTTATTATTCTTTTCATACGACAACATGCTACTTTATTTATGAAATGCTTGTTGCATGAGTTGCATGTCTTTAATATGGTGAATTGCAAGTGAGTTTGCTTGTTTGATGTACCTTTTCCCTTTTTGCTAAGCATGTTGTGATTCAATGGATTATATATAGGATAATAATGATAAATGGTTTTGATTGATGGATGAAAGGTATTGGAGAACAAATAAAACTCCTAGGAATCAAGCGAGCAAAGAGAAAGCTTGCTAATCACAATAATATATTTTAAAAGAGAAAATATTAAGTATATAGTGACATGTAAGTAAAATTTTCAAATTATATTCCTCTTCTTACTTAGCATTTTCTCCTGTCCTAGTAGTCTTTTATTCCAACATCTTTCAAAAAGTCACTACTTCTTCCTTCCTGATTTCTATGCCAGAATGCTGCCCTCATGTCAATTGGCCTGGTACAAGCTAGTTTATGCCTTGCAACTTGTCTCGGATTTCAGTCATATATGTTCCAAGCTTATTTAGCATTTGTTGGCTCTCTTATTATAATATGCAGATATTCTCTTATTTTATTGGGTAATAAGAGTGTGAAAATTCTTTTGGCCAACTTATGCATCTAATAGTCTTGCTTTTGCCACAGATAACCACCAATTGGATTTCATGCCTTTCATCTTCACCGCATGTCTCATTATTTTGCTGAGCAACATGTTTTAAATATATCTTAATCGAGCTACGCCTCTTATCATTTCAAAAACAAAAGTGCAGCAACATCAGCAAACGATAACAGACATAACTTATTTCAAAAAAAAAATATATATATTTACGGATGTAAAATTACTCCATAGACAATAACAAAATTTGATTCTTTTTCCCTTCATGCATTAAATTTACATTTTTGGGAGAAAATATGACATTCGCCCTGTAGATCCAAAAATTATTGCATACGGACACCGCATTCAGAGATGCATGCGGTATCCGATCCACACCGTAGATCACTAGTAGATCATAGTGATCTACGGTGAGGGTGCAATCAAATTTTTTTTTGCATACGGACACCACATACAGAGATTGACCGTAGACCATCGGACACCACATACGGCATGCAATAATTTTTTCTGTTGATCAGCAGTAGCATCTCGCTGGAATAAAGGAGTTTATATTCATGTATATTCAGACAAATTAACAATTCTAAAAACAGTAGCATGTGGCGTGGTCCTTGTCTCCATTATTTAGCATGAATGTTCCTCCTTCGTGCTAACACTGAACCCAAGAAAGTAGCACTCACATGAACGCAAGATCGAATCTCCCGTGAGTGAGACAGAGAGGAGAGAGAGCAGTTAGGGTTAAAGCAGATTAAGTAATCTTAAGCACAGAAAACTAGGGATAAATCAAAATCCCAAAGAAAGAAAGTAGCTCTAAAAACTCTTTTTTAAGACTATTTTAACTCAGAAATAATCAAGGAGAAATTTTGACATCCATCATCTTTGGATATTAGGGTTTTATGGAGCATTTTAGAAGATAGAATTAAAGTTGTCGTCATGGATAGCCATTTTTTTGATAAGTATGCTTAAAATATTCTCTCGAGGAAGAGGACAAAGAAAAAAATTATCTTGAGGGAATCAAATCATGCAAAAATTTTATCTTTTAATTATTTATTACTGTATATTATTGTACACTAATATGTAGAATATAATATATATATTTTTGATAAATAATAAAATAAATAAACACTTAAAAGCTGCGTAATAGACTCACTTGAATAGAGAAATGCTAAACAATTGATTACAATACGTTAGACCAAAAACATCAATTTCTTACATGCATATCATACTGCGCTAAGAAAATTTAAAATTTGAACCCACAATTGCAAGTATTAGTGCTTAACTCATCTTAATTGAAGATTGTTATTCGATGTCAGTGTGATATTCATTCAAAGAAGATATTCATTCAAGCTGCATGTCAACTACCAAAAGAGCTCTTTTGGGAGGTGACAAGTAGTATCAGAGCAGATTACTGTCTATCAAGTCTTTAGACTCTCCATGGTCCAGTGAGACCAGCGGTGGAGCCGACCCGTGACGATAACGTCACTTGATTGGGTGGAGGAAAATGTCACAGACAAAAAGTTCTACATCGGCTAGATGTAGGGCCGAAAAGCAGTATTTAAGTCTTGGGCTGCTCACCACCCCTAAGAGCTCTTTTGTGAGGTGACATGGGGCTCATAATCTTCATTGCATGACAAACTCCTCACGAGTTAATGTAAAACTATCATAAAAAAATATACTCATAAGTTTTGCATTATTGTGACAATAAAATTAATTATTAGTTACATGTTTCTTACAAAATGAGCTAAAGTGAAATTTGATTAAATATTATTTTTAAGAGTGAAACTAAAGATGATTATTTAGTTACATTTAATAAAAACAATGCTTTAGCTTTTTAATTAATCTTACTTTCAATGGCCACAATTCTTAGAAAGTGATAATAAAATATGCCTCAAAATTGAGTCTTTTAGGCTAAAGTTAAAAGAAAGTTTGCCAAAAATATGGAATCTCATCACTTCTGATAAAATTGTGACAATGACCCGGAATTTATAATATATATATATATTTCTATAATTATAAGCTTTCCAAGTAATCTAACATGGCTTGCAGCTATTAAATAGTTAATTATCTTATTGGTATGTGGTCTTATAATGAGATAACTATGATTTCATTCTTCTAAGATGAAACCAGCTTTAAGAAAAATTCAATGTTTTAATATTATGTATTAATTCGACTAATTATCATTCAAATTATTTATGCTTATTTTTTGGAGCATTGCATTGTTATGTAAGCATTTTATAAATTATGAGAAGGTTAGATAAAAGATAATCAAAGAATTTATTCATGTCCATCTAATGATAATGTCTTTAATCAATATTTTTGCAGCATAAAAATCATTAAAGAACTTTTATTTATATGATGAAATAAATATGGATTTAGACTGCATATGAAGCTAAAAAATTAAATAATATTTAATAATTAGTGAGAAATGATTGGAAAGTGTATCTTTTTCAGAAAATAAGCAAAGTTTAATAAAAATGGAAAGAATATATTCAGCCAGTATATAGAACTTATATTTATTGATAAAACTTAAAGCTAAGGAACAAAAAAATAAATAATTTTAAAAAAAATATTAAATCTTCTTAACAAACTCTCTGAGACAATGAACACAAATACCATTGAAAAGTGAAATTCCACCAAAATAAATAAATAAATAAATAAATAACTTCAGAAATAATAAAGTTGTATGACATGTTTAGCAAAAATAAAGTAAAATAAATAATTATTAAAAAAAAAAAAAAAAAAAAAAAAAAAACCCAATTTCTTCTTTGTGGGAATTAGCAAAGAAGAAATTCTTGCAATGAAAGACTCACCAACATAGAAGTATTTAGGAGAAAACAATGACTAAAATTAAGTATATAAGAACAACTTTCAAAGCTAATGTACCTTAACATGAAAAGCGCATATAATCAACAAGGTTTATTACACAAATAAAACCAATGATATTCATACAACAACAACTATTTCAAGGTACCAACTCCTTATCTCTACCCTCTTATGAGTTTTCCAATATCTGCCACAAAATGAGTGATGGATGTGAGCAGGAAAGAACCAGCTTTTCACCCATTTGGACAAAAGGAAAAAGACAAAAACATATAGTAAACTATTAAACAACATAGAAGAAGTAACCAGTTGCCAGCTTGCTCCCTCTTTCCCCCCATTTTTTTTTCCAAGTAAAAAAAAAAAAAAAGAGATATCATAGCATCCATACCAGTTGCAGTAACCAGAATCTCTAGTTTCAAACCCATGGCTTCTTATTTTGCTGCTCATATGAAGCTGAAGAACTAATGCAAGTCTCAAGCCCAGCCAAGTTTAGAAGATCTTTATGTGAAAATGCTCTTAACCCCAAGAAATCTCTTGTCATGCCATCATTACCTCCTCCTCCTCCTCCTCCACCATAATGCTCGTTAAATGAACCCAACTGAAATCCAGAACCAGCTTGTGGAAGAGAATTTATCATCAAATCATGTATAAGTGATGTTCCCCCATTCACTCCAATATTTTCATTATGATGCGAACTTGATAACTCAAGCCCAAACACACCATTATTATGTGCATTAACATTCCCACCACTATGCCCAACCATTTGCGAATGTATGGATGTAGGCCTGCTCATCGTTGCACCCATTTGCGCTGCCTTCTGCAGCAAAGCCGTAGCTGACATGTGTGCCATCGTTGAAACCGGTTGCTGTTGCATTAAATGATTCTCCTGCCCACACTCCTGATCCAATCTCGATCCATAAATGGATGAAGGAATATTAAGTTGATTAACTCCAAGCCACGGTGGTATATCTTGTCTCATATTCAACGGCTGCATCTGCCCTTCTAGCGGCTGATTGGTAAAGAGCAGTGGGTGTTGGTTAACCCTAGCACTCTCCTCTGCTAACGCATCACAAAAAGCTCTGTGTGTGATAAAGCTATCTCTCCTGCAAATTACACAACCCTATGTTTTAGTTATCATAACAAAAGCTTGTTGGTGTCAAATTCAGTTTATTTGGTGTGGTGGCATTTTGAAAACACATCTTATCTGTTTGTATAAATTGTATTTTGACAGCTTATGTATTTTTAAAATGCTGAAAACAACTATCTAAGTGCGGTGACAATTTTCTGAATACGAATTGATTTTTCCAAAAAAAAAATAAAAAATTGTAAAAGCCACTGCAGTTGGCTTATCAGTAGATTTTTTATGCTCAGCTTCTCAACAGTTCAAAAGTAATAGCTAGATTGTTAGCTACCGAGAGAAGAGAGTGCCGCAATCACAGCGGTACTCGCGCGTGCCGCAGATCTTCGAATGAGCTTTCCAATCGGATTGAACGGCGTACTTCTTCGAACACTTATCGCACTTCCATTTCTTCTCCCCATGCTTGCGGCTGAAATGCTTCTTGATGCCGGTGAGGTCGCCGAGTGCACGAGAAGGATCATGGTGGACGCACGTGACTTCGGGGCAGATGTAAACTTTTTTCCTCACTTCTTTGCTGGTCCTCTGCTTGAGCTTCCATGGGAGGTTGTGGCCGCGACGGTGGAGCTGAAGATTTTGGTCGCGTTGAAAGCCTTTGTTGCAGATCTCGCAGATGAAGCGGTTTGTTGCCATTAGGGTTTTTGGGGATAGAGCCATCACCTCGGCTTCGGGGTCTGGAGAAGGGTTAGAAGATGGGGAGATTTAGAAGTAGATGGAGAAGAAGATTGTATGCTTGTTAGTTGAGATTTATACCTGGGTTGCCGGGAAGATTTCGCTTCTTTTTGGATGGTTGGGTGTTAGGGTTAGGGTTTGGGGAGGCGAAAGACGACTGTTGGTTGGAGGAGACGCTGGCCTCGCCGGAGGCTGAGGTTAGATTTGACATGTTTTCATCCACCAGCTGGTGTTGTGATGAGATTATGAGTCCTTTCAACATAGTTCAGTATTTTTTGTGAAGTCTTAATATGGTTGAGGGATCGAGAGATAGTGAGAGAGATTTATATGTGCATGTGTGCAATATATATAATAAATAGAGCTTAGAAAAGGTGCACTAATTAGTACTCGTTGGTCTGGAATGAATCTCTGTGAGTTATACCTCCATTCTGCAAGATGAAATCAAACATCTAATGATATCTTGTACTTGAAGAAGAAGAGGATGATGAAAATTTAAGAGAATTCAGATCTGAGTTGTAATATGATTGTTCAATAAAATGAAAAACTTAAAAAAAAAAAAAGGGAGAGAAAAAAGAACAAACCGGAAGGGAATTAACAGCCATACCTGCAGATGGCACTGCATCAAAACCTGTATCTTGATATTCATGAAAATAGATGAACTGCACTGGCTACAAGGTACTGACCCACGTTGTGTGCAATCAATAATATGTAGTCCTTGTAAATCTTCTCAGCAATTCAAACAAAAACATAAGAAAAAGCAGATCAGAGAAACTGATCAGAGGGAGAATAAACCAGGCAGATTTTTGGACACAGAGAGAGAGAGAGAGAGAGAGAGAGAGAGAGAGAGAGAGAGAGAGAGAGAGAGAGAGAGAGAGAGAGAGAGAGAGAGAGAGAGAGAGAGAGAGAGAGAGAGAGAGAGAGGAAAGAGCTGGAATGAATTTTATTGTAGAGAGAGAGAGAGAGAGAGAGAGAGAGAGAGAGGTCTATATGGATGAGTGGAGGTGCAAAATTGACCACCCATTCAGCACCCACAGCATATTGGGCTTCAATTTAATTTCAGATAAAAATGTTACCCCCTCGGTCTTATCAGTCCACCGAACAGTTCCTTTCTAGCTCTAGTTCCCATGAGATTGCTAGATGAGGTTGGATGGGAGTTTTTTATTGAGCTAGATTTCTGAAGACAAAGCTGTCCAAGGTGACCAGCATAGTCCAGACAAGGGTCAAGCATTTATTAAACGTCAAATTTGTTCAAAGAGCATGATTTAAAATATGTTTGGGTGAATTAAATTTAAATATCTTGTTTGGTTGGTTTTTTTCAACTTAAAGACTGTAGTCCTCCCATTATGAAAGCTACTTGATTTACTCATAATAGTTTTTTGGTGTTTGAATGTTTAACATGCTGATGAGAAATAAAGTGAATGTTTTTAAGATATTGTGTTTAAATACTCATCCAAATTTTAATGAAGTTTTAATCTTTTCTATTATTTTCTTATGATTTATGTTATTTGTATTTTGTTATACTATCAATTAGTTGACACTACAAGAAAATAATTAGATGGCATAAATATTTGCGTCAGATAAGTTCTGATGCAATAAATTTATGTCTCATTAAAAGTGATCTTTATTAAGGATAAGTTTAGCGTCGAGGTTGAATGCCAACGCAAACCTTTAGTATCCTGTTTAGCGTCGAAATTTGACGCCGTTATAAATGTCATTTAGTAGTAGCATCAGTTCGGAGGCTAATTTTGATGCAAATTAGTTTATGGTAGCATTGACCTTTGTCTTCGTTTATAAAAGTCACTTCACAACAGTGTTTATTAGGGAGTTAATTTTGGTGCAAATTTAATGGCGGCAGACTTTTTCGATGCAAATCATTCAAAAATGAAACTCGCTAGACTTATTTGCGCTCTTCACTGTTATATTCTTACGAATCCTAGCTCCGTGACCCTTTCTTTGAACCTGCAAGTTTATCCTCTCCGATGACTGTCCGGCCACTGTCCGATGGTCATACATCTTCTCTAGCGACTGTTCAACCACTACCCAAGCTCGCTAGGAGTGTAAAAGAGCCGAACACAAGCGAACCCAGACTCAGCTCGTATTTGCTTTGTTTATATTTCGAGCTCAAAAAGTGTGTTCATGTTCGGCTTGTTTGCCTAACGAGCCGGACACGAGGTTCATAAACAAAGAGTCGTTTTGACAACCATAATCAAGTAGCCATAAGATGTTAAAGATTGTGGCAAGATCTAAAGCATCATTTGAATCTAATTTAAAAATTTTTATTCTATTTTCTTAATTAATATTTTTAATTGATTATAAATCTTTGTAGCCATATATAATTGAATAGTAGTACTTCGAGCCAAAACGAGCCGAACAAGAATGAACAAATATTTGTTCGTGGTGTTCGTGTTCAGCTCAACTTAGCGAACGAGCCAAACACAAACTTCTTAATGAGTTGAACACAAGCTGTTCACGAACAATGAGCCTTTTTGACAGCCCTAAAGCTTACCGAGGCAAGTTTCCTTTTTCCCTTAATTAATTTGTCATGATTACTTCGTTTTTTTTTTCTTAGGTGAATGAATCCATTTTGCTTTATGTTTATATATTAGGGTTTAGCTATGCCTTAAAAGGATCTTTGGCTGCATGCAAGATTTAGGGTCTGTGTGATTTATAGTTTAGGGAAAATGGCATATGCACGCATACCACCCAATTCATGAGTACTTACATATCTAGCAGTTAAACTGTATTGTTTGCATAAAAATTGTGTGGTTAGTTTGTAAAATTTAAATTTTAGGTGTTAGATTTGTGATAAATAAGAGTTGAGTAGTTTGTAGGTAAACATTTAAGTTTAGGTGTTAGATATTTAATACATAAGAAATGAGTGGATGTATGTAAAAATTAAAGTTTAGGATTTAGATATGTAATACATAAGAATTGTTTGGTTTGTACAAGAAATTGAAGTTTGGGTGTTAAACAAGTGATGTATATGAATTGCGCGGAATGCATGTAAAAATTGTAGTTTAGATGAAGAAATGTAATACATAAGAATTATGTGGTTTGTATTTAAGAAGTAAAGTATGGGTGTTAGATAAGTGATACATATGAATTGTGTTGAATGTATGGACAAATTGAAGTTTATGGTGTAGATATGTAATACATAAGAATTGTGTGGTTTGTATGCATAAATAAAGTTTAGGTGTTAGTTGTATAACACCTATGTAATACATAAGAATTGTGTGGTTTGTAGAAGTTTGGGGTTTTAGATGTGTAATACATAAGGCTTGTCTGTTTTGTATGTAACAAATAAAGTTTAGGTGTTAGATGTACAAAATTCTTATGTAATACATTACATAAGAATTTTGCGGTTTGTATGTTAAATTTGAAGTTTAGGTGTTAAAAATGTATTGCATAAGAATTGTGCGGTTTGTACGTAGAAATTTAAGCTAATTTCGTATTTGACATGTTATACATAAGAATTGAGTGATTTATATGTATATATGTAATACATAAAAATTGTTTAGTTTGTATGATTGTAAAATATAAGAATTGTGCGTGGTTTTATGTAAAGATTATTGTTTTGGTGTTAGATATGTCATACATAAGACTTTTGTGGTTTGTATGTCAGAAATAAAAGTTTGGGTGTTAGATGTGTAATACATTGGAATTTTGAGGTTTGTATGTTACATTTGAAGTTCGGGTGTTACATATATAATGCATAAGAATCGTGCGGTTTGTATGTAGCAATTGAAGTTCAGGTGCTAGATATGTATTGCATAACAATTGTGTGGTCTATATGTATATAATACATAAGAATTATGTGGTATGTAAGTACAAATTTAAGCTTAGGTATTAGATATGTAATGCATTAAAATTAGGTGGTTTGTATGTTTATATGTAATACATAAGAATTGTGAGGTTCGTACATAAGTAATACATAAGAATTGTGTGTGGTTTATATGTAAAAATTGAAGTTTGTGTGTTAGTATGTACTTAATACATATAATATGAATGTAAGATTGACATTTAAATGTACTAATCTATAAACACTATAGAAATTTAGTTTATTATTGACGGTTAGATACCATCGGTGATAATGGATAAAACATAGATAATATATTTACCAAGAGTTTAGCGACGACAAAGTTGATGTAGAAAAAATGCTTATTGGTAATGAAATTACTAATGGATTTAGGGATGATTTACATTAACCAACGAGTTTTTGATGTGCCATAATTATTGCTCTAGATAAAAAAACATGTCATATATAATCGTATCTTAACCGTCGGTTACATTATCCGTAGAAAAAGTGTTGCACTACCATCGGAAAAGTATCGCAGTTACCTCAATTATCAGTTAACCATGATAATTTATCAATAGTTTTGCTCGTATCAAAAGTGTGGCACTTTGTCCAGATGTTGCTTCTTCAATAGACCGTCAGAAACCGTCAACATATAATCAATGGATCATAAAATTATTGAAAGCCATCGAAAATCTCTGCCATCAGAAAAAAAAATTTAAAGTCTTCTTTCAACACTACAATCTACACATCAGTAATTGTATCAGTGCAATCAAAATACAACACAACACATTAACTAAACTAATTAATGCATAAATCATATACAAAAAAAAAAATCAAACAAAATATAGAACTGCATAGAAAATATAATGTTCACTAACGATAAATTGTTTAATACAAAAAAAAAAAAACTAACCCTCTACTCATCCTCATCATCCTCCTGTGTCCTCTCATCATCGACATCATCCAAACCCTCATTCTGCACCTGCTCCTTCCCTTTCTACAGTTCAGAATGCAACACCGTTTTGCTCTCTGCCCTCATCTTCAATCTCAGAGTGGTTACTTGAGTATCAACCTCAACAAAAACCTGAAGACACACCTCTTCCTCTTTTGAAGTGGAAGTGGATGCACCAAATATGCTAGAGGCCAAACAGGCATCATAGGTCCGCACTTGGGACACCAAACCATAGACACTGCCCTTCTTCTTCGAACCAACAACCTCCTTTCTTGTTCTTACAACTCTGATCCTTAGGCATGCCTCATAAGACAAATCTAGATTCAATATCCTCAAACTATATATATAGTTATATATTGTACCACATGTTCATATCGGATCGTTTGTGTATCACTGTCTCTGTTGATGCATCCTAGCTACTGGTTGGCTTGGGCCAATTGAGAAAGTGAAAGAGAAAGTGGATACACTTAATATTATATAACTTTTAGTTTTATACTAAAACTTTTATATGGGTGGTTGAAAATTAAAAAAGATAAACTCAATTCTAATGGAGAAAAAGATGATGGAAATGGAGAGCATGATTTCCATAAAGTGATGGATTACTGATCTATTTCGCACGGAGAAGGGCATGTGAGTGTGTATGTACCTAAAATAAAATATTCAACACCACAGCACTTTCTTAACTCCCCCATTTGCATTTAATTAACATGATTGAGAGATTGTTTTTAGTCCGGTCTGACATAGCCCATAACTAGCTGTCCATATTAAATCCAATATAGAAAGAATTCTACTTGTGAAAGAAACTTGTTGCACCCTCACTTTTATCTATTTAGATGTTTAAGTTTAATTTAATATAAATGATTGAATTTTTTTTTTTTATATTTGAAGTAAAATAAAATCAATATAAATTTGATGATGGGTGGCTGGTTGGCAATGATTGAATGCAACAGTGGTCAGTAGGTAATGATAAGTGTCTACGAGTGAAAAAAATACTACATCATGACTTTTGATGCATTCATAATCCAATGGTGGAGCGTCACGTGTCCAGTGAGTTCCATCGTTTTTAACACTGGCCAATGTCAGTG